ACTATTTTAATTTTTCTGAATTTTCTTGAGTCTTTTAATTGTAAGATACTAGATCATTTTCACCTTCAAAAGAAACACTTTGAAAAGGGAACATCACAGTTTGGTTGAACCGCTCAGACAAGTCAAGTCACAAGAAGACACTGCTTATTATTAAAGGACCACAGGTCACAAAGGTAGGAAACCGCTGACCTTGAAATCTAAAAACCTTCCAGTTTTCAGCCAAATTTTGCCCAGTTTTAACCTGAGCCCGTAGACTTTGTTGGACATGCATCACACAAAATCGTCAGTACAGTTACCACATTATAAAGGTCAACCATTTTGAATGCGTTTGGGACTGAGACTAGATGGATAATGTGGAACAAAACAGGTGATTCTAACAAAAGAAAACAACAGAAAAGATAATCCTCTCACAATAGTGTAACATAATGTGAACAATCTGCTGGACAAAATAAAAAATCTCATTTATTCAGTGAGGCCTTCTCTCCTTTTGTCTAACCCTCCCTCCCTCCTGCTCTCTCTCTCTCTCCCTCCTTCTCTGTCTCTCTATGAACATCTTTACTGGCCGGTGAAGCCGCTGATGAATTCTTAAGCAGATCAACTGATAATTGTATTTCATAACTGTCAGTTGTGCGAAGGCTGCCAGTGTGCCCAGGAGCTATTTGTGTCTCAGTTATGGTCCCTGCCACACACTTCCATCCGCCCGCCCCTCCCTGCCGAACTCTGTCCAAACCCCCAATCACCAGGGATGTGCTTACTGTCTCCGGCCCCGAATTACTCAATCAGGAGGACACATTTACAGATGACACTTTTATTACAATTAATCAGGGGAACTTGATTAAGAAAGTTATTCCACCCCTTCATTGAGACTTACACAAGTGGTGCTGCCGCATATTGTAATTTATGTCCCACTGAGCTCTTGCGCCGCTGATAGACAGAAAAACCGACAGATTGCCAGCCATACTGAGACAGATGTCGACGTTTGTGTGTGTGTGTGTGTGTGAGGGTGGGTATGTGCGTGCATACAACCCCCAAGCACATCTACGTATTGAGAAACACATGCACAGCCACAAACAAACACATTCCCCTATCATTCTGTCATGCACAACTCAAGTTTCGCAAAGAGTTTAATAAATGACTTTAATTGGCTGTAGAAATGTTCTCGCTAAAGGAGGCCTGAATATTCCATTTCCCTTTCTTCTTGTCTCTTTCTTTCACTCTCCCTCTCTTTAACACAAACGCACACAGACACACACACACACACACACACACACACACACACACACACACACACACACGACTGAATGAAGCCATCTCTTTACCTTTACTCACAGTTCCTGGGTCTGCTGTGGCTAATTAGTTGAGTGGGGTTTTAGGTTTGGTAATTAGGCGGAGGTAGGAGTGACGGGGGCTCGGGGAGTTGGGGAGTTGAGGGGGCCTGACTGACTAGCAGAGAAAGAAACTGGACTGTCTGGATTCTGGCAGCACCAAGCAGCCAGCCAGTGTCCCTCAGGCGCCTGGAGGTAGACTACCATCCCACACTATGAGGGGTGATGTCTTTGTTATGTGCCACATGTTCCAGCACGGGGAAACTGTGGAAAAAAAAAAAAGAGGGTTTAGTGAAAGAAAAAGAGAGAGACACCTTTGAGAATTTCACTACCCTGAATGTCAAGGTGCAACAGTGAAAACCAGCACTCTGCTGTTGTCTTGAATTGAAATTTGAAATGGATTGGAGAGCTACAAAAAAAAGTTGTGATTTTCTTAACCAGTCATGTAAAGGTGAAAAGAGGAGAAGAACATTTTTATTTTAAAGCGAGCACATGTAACATTTGCTGAACTGTGGCCACTGTGGCTGTAAGTGAGAATTATGGCATAATGGTAAATGGTAAATAAAACAGTAGGACAAATATATTAGAGTAGTAAAGTCTGCAAACTGACTAATCAATCTCTACACTAAATTAGACAGTAATACCTATCTTTAGCTTGCTAACGTTAGCTAACATTAGCCACCGTAAGCTACTGGTCATACCAGACCGAGGCTGTAGTAGCAAAAGTCCTGAGTGTGTTGGATTGAACAAAGTTGCGTTTTAATTCTTATTAGTTCAACTTTTCATTAAAGAACGCTTCATTTTTTTTTCTTCTTTGAAAAGTGTCTTTGAAAACCATCAATTTTGTGGTTTTTCTGAAAATGAAAACCAGCACATTCACCTTTTTCCTCATGAAGTGCCCTTTTCTATGCAGCTGTTTGGATAGCACTTGTTATAATCTATGCTCGGTATTTAAGTCATCCACATTTACATCAGGTTAAACAGGGTAAGCTTAGTTTACCCTCCATCACTTCCACATGCACATAACTACTTAAATCTAACTGGTGTTAATTATCCTCTCTCAGGAGCAGTACTACAGTAATTATTGACTAAAATTAGAGTGACACTTCCTAAAATTAAGAAATAATTCTCTAGTTTCACCATCACACAAAAGTCTGTGCATGCCTCTCTCGAAGACCTTCTCTAGCTTTAATGTCTTGTTTACGCTCCACAGTTCCAGGTTGCTTCAATACGTTGCCAGTTAGCTGCCTCCGTCTGCAACACAATCCAATTAAATAAAGAGTGTTGTCTCTCCAGGTTCCTGTGTTCTCTAATTGGGGCTGTGACTGCTCACTAATCAGTGGAAGTACAGGTAGGCCCTGGAGGACACCAAGACGAGGCCTCTCCTGTTAATTGAAGAGATGCTAAACCTGGCCTCCTCCTCGCCGTGCAACATGGATGCACACAGCACTCAAGCATGCTAAATTCATCTAAACATCAACGTGCATCACCACCTCTCTCACCCTCTTGTGTGGCTGGCATGTAAGAGCTTGCTTTTGCATCTCAACACCTGAGCAAACAGTTGTGTTACACAGGTTAATGCAATAATTTAAGGATCCCTGTTTGTTATGTCGGTAAGAACACAATGCATTTCTCATGGGTCACATCTCTGCAGTGCTGGAAAGTACATTTAGTGAAGTACTATACTTTAGTACTACTTTGAGGTACTTAATGCTACTTTATACTTCCGCCCCAGTGCATTTCAGAGGGAAATGTTATGCTTTCTACTGCACTACATTTATTTCACAGCTTGAGTTAAGATGAAGTTTTTACACAATGGATAATGCAACTAGCTTTTAAAGTACAACACAAGATTAAACCAGTGTTTTCCAACCTTTTAAACTTCTTACAAAAATCAGTGTGTAGTCAGGTCCACATTTCAATTTTATTTCAACAAATGTTCAAAGGATCCACTGTCTCACCAAAAATCAGCGATTAGAGAAAAAGTCCAAAAACTTAAAAATAGATCTGTGAATCAGAACTTTGTTTTTCCTTCCTTCCTCTCCCATTAATCATCTGATGACCCCTCAGATAAACTGTATATATGAAACCAGCTCCACCTCCAGCAGCTCCAACAGTAACATGCTGCTTACACACTGATGCTTCAGTATTAATCATCCAATGATGTCATATGTAAAAATGTATCAGTCGGAGGGGTGAAAGCACCAATTTTACTTTAATACTTTACTGCTAATACTTCGGTACCATTACTTAAGTAGGATTTTTCATGCAGGACTTTTACATGTAATGTAATATTTTTACATTGCTGTATTTGTACTTCTACTTAGTTAAAGATGCTAATACTTCTTCCACCATTGCATCTCTGCTTTAATTTTAGTTTTAAAACAAAGTTGCTTCAGTTCAAAATCAGCATCTACAACCATGAATATTTAACCTGCTTAGATATAAGATGTTAATAAAATTGATAAAATTAGCAACTGCATAATGTTGTACTTCTAAATTTAGTAAACAAAAGCAGGTTTGAAGTATTTGGAGGGAAAAAGTAACTCAAATACATGGACAGCTGGGAACAAAGTGAACAGCCTGAGATTTTTCTTTCAGCATTAATTGAAAAAATATGTTTAAATTTCCATATTTTGTGGCCAATAATCACAACTTCTACTTGGCAAAGACAAATTTCCACTTTATGCTAATTTAATGGACAATAAAGTTTTATCTTATCTTATCTTGGATGATTAACAAAGGAAATTGTGCTATTAAAAGATATTAAAACCCTGAAAAAAAAGAAAAGAAAAATGGCCACTGTCTATGTTGAAGACTTTGAGTGCTGCTCTGACTTCCTCCACTGTGGCTTATTCAAAATGGCCTTGGCCCGGTGTGTTTCTGATTTCCTGCACCGTCTGGTGAAGGTAGCAGCTTTGCATGCTGGGGTCACACCTGTAACGTATTTCACACTGGGTTATATTTTGAGTGGCCACCTGGATGAGGAAATAACATGTTCACAGTGCATGAAGACTACATCCCTCCCTGCCAGGTAGGAACAGGTGTTTATTTTAGACAACATACACTACATTAATACAACATGGACTGCTTCATATATCATGTCTATTCTTACTTTCTTTTAGGGAATGGGGTTACTATCTTGGGTCTTGGAAACTTTTCACCTATTTTTAACACTTATCCTCTAAATCCCATCTTCTGTCTTGACAATTATTATCTCTGTGTTAAATGTAGGAATCATCCGCCACGTGACTAAACTTCCTAAAGGTATGTTGCACTGCTTTGTTCCTTGTTTCCAGAACTAAATTAAACACAAGAAATGGAAATGAAAAAAAAATGTCAAAGGGCGTTCCACAACACATTCACTATGAGTGAGTTTTTTTTTTTTTTACTCACGGTGGGGAAAAGTAATGGCATTTTCTAGTCCAACTCCTGGTTAGCTGGACTAATTTTTTTTTTTTTTTTTTTTTTATTATGTGCAGCTTCGGGGCATGTGAATGAAAAGATTGATTGTGTGAATGCAGTTTCTGTCAGCCACAAACAGGCAATGAAATACCAAGCACACCTGGAGCAGCATTCACTTTTGACAGGCACATACCAGTGTAAGCCCCTATTAGAAAAACAATGAAGTCTATCATAAAACATTTATGGTAGATAAAGTGCCTGAGAGTGCTAAAAGCTGGCACATTATGGCAGCAGGTCTAAAATTATTTCAGACGTGGACTTCTACAAGAGGGTGGGCACACAAGATTAGGCAACGCTGTCAAGATATTCTCTACAGAAAATGATTGAGGCTACTGTTTCTGAGGTTTAATCGGAATATTTGTGCAATCAATGCATAGATATGTTACTTTACAGATTCTGTTTTACATCAAATTCACTCTTGCAAATTAAGAATGATCGAAGCCTCACGTATTATTCACGTTATTGCACATATTTTCCACAGTAAGATATAGCAGAAAATAAAGTAGCTAAATTCTATTTATTCACAGAAGCATCATGTAGCTTTACCTTTAATGTCATATCAATCATCTTACAAAAATAAAGATTATTATTTAAAGCCCTAATTCACATCTTGTCATTTTAAACATTACAATCATTTTCTACTTTCATTAGTGCATCAACAATCTGTGACATCACAGCTTACTATTACTAACAGCGGGTGGTGCCACCTCCACCACCACTTTGCCCAGGTTTTTCCCGGCATACATGTGGTCCACAGCCCGGAAGACTGACTCTAGGCCTACAAACCTCCCCCCCTGCGCCAAATCCCCACAATCCACCTCACACACTAGCTTCCCTTTGGCAAACATCTGCATCATGCTACCCAGGGCCTCCCTGTAGTCACTGAAGAAGTGGGGCAGGAAGAAACCTCGAATGCTGGCCGACTTCTGAAGCAGCTTGACCGGTAGTGTTCCTCCTCTGAAGGGTGGGATCCCTGATGCAGTCTGGTACCCAGAGATGAAGCCAATCACTATCAGCCGGCCCTTATTGGCCAAACTGTTCACTGCCAGCTCTAAAACGCTGCCTCCAACTGACTCATACACCACGTCTATGCCTTGTGGGTACTCTTTCCTAAGAGTCTTGGCCAGGTCTTCCGTGGTGTAGTTGATGGGCCTGTTGCAGCCGAGGGATTTAAGGAAGCCGGCTTTCTCGTTGGACGAACAGGTCCCGATCACGTGGCAACCGGCCTGTTTGGCAAACTGCACGGCGAACTGCCCAGTCCCTCCTGCTGCCGCCGTGACGAGGACCGTCTCACCTTTGGCCAGGTCGCCCAGACGTTTCAAGGCGATGTAGGCCGTGGCACCGCTGACCAGCAGGGTGAGGAACTCTGGCTTCACAGCGGGGACGGGCACACTTTCCTTGGCTGGCACCACCGTGTACTCTGCAAACGCACCGCTGCTGAAGTAGGCCACAGTGTCCCCGACGGTGTAACGGGAGCTGGCGCTAAGGCCGAGGCCGACGACCTCACCGATACCCTCGAAACCGGCATCGAAGGGGGGCTTCAGCGAGGGGTCGTAGCGGCCTGCAGAGTAATTAATATCGGAGGCGTTGATTCCCACAAAACTGGAAACAAACAGAAAAGAACAATAGTTTCAGATTAAAGGCAAGAAAATAAAACTGTTACATGATGAAGTTGTGAAGAGAATGTATACAAAACATTCACAATGGCATGCAAGAGCTTTTGTATGGTCATTAGTGTAAGCACATATTTCCTGAGTTCCTGTCTGAAGGTCAAGACTTCAGCTTCCTTCTCGAGACACGTCTGCACGGGGCATAAACACCCTGGTTTGTTTTGGCAATGATTCCCTTTTCTCTTGAGGAGAACAGTCCTGCTCTGACAGGGAAAGGCTTGTATCACAAAACACATTGCATGATGTCATGATTCATTGTCTTCAGAGACACCCACAACAAAAAGCCCTTTAAAAAAAAAAAAAAAAAAAAAAAAAAAATCTTAGATAGTTGCTTCTTGCCTCAACACGAAGACGGCTGTTTTCATCTTACTTTGGTAACATGTTGGAAACAAATATGTGAGAAAGGAATGTATAAATAAATCATTTACTGTCTTTTAGAGCAGCACGCATGCTGTGCCTCATTACTGTGCATGTCACACATGTACGCTGAGCTCGTAGATAATGCTTCTGTGGCTTATAGATGGGTCCCGATGATACAACAAAATACCTTGATTTGACTACTTTACATCTATGGAATCAGCTCCCTCACAGAGAAATACGATGTTATCATCAAAAGGTACAACTATTTCAGAGTACACAACTACAAATATTGAACTAGTCGAGTTTAAACAAATTCAAATAAGATATTTGTGGCAATAAAGTCATAATCAGTAAAAACCATTATCCTTTGAAAAACTTTTCAAACTGATAACACTCACCAAAATGTTCCTCCATATGAAGAACAGCAAACTTAAAAACCCCACACTTGTTACAGTGACTATGAATGTGCTATTGATATGTGTCTGATGACAAATGCTACACTTTGAAAAATACTAACTAAAATGTTACCGTCTCATGGCCTTTACTTTTTGATTTATAGAAGAAGTGACACTCAAATTTATACAAATGTATTGTTTTGTCTTATGATTGTCTCAATATAATAATGAAAAGAGAATATGGTATGATGTTGGACCAAGCACTGATGGTCCAGCTCGAAAAGCAAAAAAAAAGCAAATCATACAATCTGACGCCACCTCTGTCTTTCATGCGCAGGTCACTACATTAATGTGACTACATGTAAGCTGGAGTGAAAAGTGCACACATGGATCACATGTCCTGCTGGAGTCAACTCAGGAGTCCTGCTATTTAAGGATTTACTGCACATTAAAAACATCTGGCTCACCTCAAACAAAAAATATATAATAAAGAAAACAGTCTCCTTCCTTTCTTGTGAATTAATCCGTTTCTCCCGCTGCACTCATGATCTTTTTCAATTATCAATTTCTCACTCTGGGTTTTCTCATTTAACACTTTCATATTTATATTTCATGAAGATTGAAGAGTGCTTCTCAGTTTGCACCAACACAAATATTTATTTCCCCTGTTAGTTAAAGGATCTTCCCAGATCCCATGACTATGACGCCTCACTAAAACACACACAAACACACACCTACCTAACGGTCAAAGGTCTTAGTTCACAAGCAACTGATTACTATCTTACAAGGCAATAAGTCACTGATGTAGCCTTTTATGTTTTACATTCTCTTTGATGAAAAACTACAGTTTATTAGATAACACAATAAACCCTGAGGTGCATTTGTGTAAGGATGATTTAGCCTCACGTTTATTATTAGATCAGGCATCTATACAGTCAGTTATGCAGAAATAAATCCAAATTAGGAGAAGACGTCACCTCTGGGTGGGCTCAAGAATAGAAGCAGAAATCCAACTATTTAAAAAAAATTTTTTACACCTTCTCCACTTTAAAATATGAAATATTGAATTCAATGCTCTTGATGAATTTCTGTCATGGTCATTTAGACTGTGTGAAGCTACAAAAGGTGTGTGTGCTGACTTCAGGTGGGTTTACTCTAAGCGTGAATACACTGCTGGGCTCTGCTGCTGTGAATGAGAGAAATGATGCTGCAATTCCCGCGCCATGTAACACTGCATCTCCTTCTCCATCTCTTGATGCCAGTCTGAGCCCCCCCATGACTTTCTGTTTGCAGGTTCGTGACGTAATGAGAGAGACAGGAGGACAGAGGGAGCGAGGGAGAGAGAGAGAGAGAGAGAGAGAGAGAGGGAGAGGGAGAGGGAGAGAGAGAGAGAGATTCCGAGATGGATTGATAGACAAATGCAGAGAGGGCGGAACTTGGAATTACAGTACAACGCTTATTCCTCACGTATTTTGCCATCTTGTGATGATGATGATGATGATCGCAGGTGCTGGACATGGGTAAATCGAGGTAAGCGCAGCCCTTTTTACAACTTCTCAACAATATAGTGATAGATCGACATGAAATAATGATCCACAAATAGACTCGGAACACGCTCTGGGTCATCTATTGCTATTCCGACCGCGCACACATAACACAGGACTCTCTCTCTCTTTCTCTCTCTCTCTGACCACCTTTCAAAAACAACAACTTACCGATTCCTGACGAGCAAGTCCGCGTCTCCGGGTGTCGGAACCGCAACGGTTTGCATAGAAACGGCCTCTCTGAAATTAGGACTAAGCTTGGTTACGACCAGCTTTTTCATACTGCTCGGTATGGAGGATCCTTTAAAATCCATGAAGTGCGCTGAGTAGGACATGTCTATGATGAAGCGCCGCGCCACCGGATGAACTCCTGAAAGTGCGTCGGTGCCTCTGCGCCCCCCGCGGATTAGCGACACCGCTCTCCCGCCGTTCCGCACCAACAGAAGGCTGGACATGGCTCCGAAATGTGACAAAGTTCACGGACAACTTGACGTGCGGTAGTGGCAGTAGTAAGCACGACTGCCATTAGCCTGCGCTATAGGCTCTCCCTCTGCACATGCACATGCACAGCGTGCAGGCCAGGCCGGGCCGAGGAGAACCGGGCCAAACGCGCTTGTAAACAAAAATAAAAGCCTCGATTCTTTGTTGCGTGACTCTCGGACACTTACGCAAAAAACAAAAACAAAACAACAACACGCACGGAATCAAGTATTTGGGATTAAAACGTTGCACTGCTGCAGCCTTGTAAGTAGCACAGCAGCGCCCCAGACTTGTCGTCGGAGTCCCTCCCCTTCCCGGACACAACACTCACTTCCTAGTAAGGTGAAACAAATCAATCCTCATCTCCTAACACATCCTCAGCCCTTTTTTTTTCCTCCCACGAAAAACAACATCAACCCCCGCTGAACCTTTCAAGCGTTTACAAACACAAAATATAATCATGTAGCGTGTTGCGTAAATGCGCTCCCGTTTAATTCGCGTGTTTATTTGCAGAGCGCTGTAGCCGCGCGAGCTTCATGCTCGCATGTACACCTGTAACCACAGTGTGTGTGTGTGTGTGTGTGTGTGTGTGTGTGTGTGTGTAAGCGATCTGTGAAAGTGTGTTGTTTTGCGTCGCACTCCGTCTGCACGTTCCATGTAGCAGCGCTCTCCGCTGTTGTCATCGGACTGTCGTCTTTCTGGAAGCATCTGGCTTGTTGAAAATGTTCCACTATCACCACAACACACCGGACCGCTGAACCCTCGTCCCACCCCCAGTGGGAGTCAAAGCCCGAACTCGTGCTCTGCCAGTGCCTCGCTTTTGTGAGCTCAAGATGACATGCAAGTTGTGTGAAACCTCGTGAGTGATACTTGTTGTGGGTTTGCAAAACATGTTCGTCTAAGTTTGGTTTTAGTTCACGTCCCGATAAGTTCCGAAAAGAATCCTTCTCTTTGTCGGGAGGTTTGGGATTTTTTTTTTTATATAAAAGCAAAGGGAGAAGGAGAGAGAGAGAGAGAGGAAGAGAGAGGGGGGAAAAACAAGACAATTAAAAAGATTGACAGGTAGGCTCCTCTGTCAGGGGTGACGCTTGTGGAGAGGGGAGGAGTAAAAATGTAGCAGGAAAAGCCACTCGATGCGTCTGTCTATCAGTTGAGACTGTCTGAAACAGCTTCTGGATCCACCGCGTTTCCATTTTTTCTTTTTTGGGAGACCTCGGATCAGTCCCTGGAGTTTTTCCCCCCTCTTTGCTTTTTTAAAGAGACAAATATTTTAGTCCATGTCGATCTGATCTGTTGTTGGCGAAGCTTGGATGCGCCTGCGTCTTGTTTGTTTCCCCTCTCTCTCAAGTGATATCCTCTCCACCGCATCAACCACCCCTCCAAAAAAAAAAAAAAAACCCGACTCTGTCCAAGATGCGATGAGATGAGCGGTGGAAATCATTTCCACGAGTCTTAAAACGTAAGTAAGAGAGAACGCCTGCTCGTCCCATTTATGTTTTTTTTTTCAATGGGAGAGAAGGAGGGAAGGAGGGGAGGGAGGAAAAAGTCTCCGCCGGACTGGTGAGGCTGGATCCGGGCTGAGGTGGCGTGGTGGTGACGGGACTGACATTAACCCATCTAATGCCTGTCTATCTATTTTCTCCTCTCCCCTTTCTCTCTTTCAGGTCTCAGGCACAAGAGGAGGAAACACAAGGATACATTACTTATCAGAGCTGTGCGCTGCGATCACACGGGACTTATTTGTTTGGTTACTGCCAGAGTTTATTTATTTTTTAGTTTTGCTGTGCGTAAAAGGCGCAGCAAACTATCGTCCCCCTCCAAACAGCACTGGAGATTAGAGGGGTTTTTCCAGGGGGAGTGAACTGAAAACTTGGGTTTCAAGGTGCTTGCTTGCTGCTTCTGCTTAATTTTTTAATTTTTATTTTTTTTTTACCTTGCCACGAGAGAGATGAAGGAAGATGATCTTTGATGGACATGAAGGTGTCAGGAGCTGGCCGAATCCCTTCGTAATTTTTGAGCTTATTCTCTCTGAAGCCGATCCAGCTATTAAGCCCCAGAAAGAGCAGCCAGTTTGAGAAGAAGACTGACATTTTCAACCCGAGATCAACCCCCCCCCCTCCCTCCCTCCTCACCCCTGCCCCGAAAAACGGGATGATTTCTCAAAACTGATAGACTTGATTCGTTTGTAATTCCTGCATGAGAAGCACCGTGGAACGTGACGGTCACTATGCCGAGGAGAAAGCAGCAAGAGCCGCGGCGATCAGCAGGTATAACCCGCCCCTCCATTACGAACATTTCACATCCCAGTAGCTAACTAGTTTTTATTCACAAGTGCCACATGAAAAAATACATCCACTCCACACCACATTCTTTAGCTGTGCTGCATGCTGCCATTTCTTTTACTACTCTGCTTGAATTAAATTTGTTGTGTTATTAACACAGCGCGCCACTCACCTCCAGACCCACACTTTTCTGTTTAAAATGTGTCTAATCAAGCAAGTGACGCACAAATCTGTGCAATGCCACTTTTATTATAATTTCTTTTAAACCCTCCTTTGCCAGGAAAGTTCTCTTAAGAATGGTGAGATAAACTAAATGGCATGTTATGGGGGATAAAAGGGAGCTTTTGAGGTTCAAGAGTGAGTAATGATGAATAATTGACTGGGAAAGAAGGGGGAGAAAACTGGTGAGAGCCGGTTTTTTCCTTCTTTCTATTTTATTAGAGGATTGCCATCCTTGATTTGATGCGTGATTGATCGCCTGTCATGTGGCAGTCTTTGATCTATTCATCCCTGATAAACATCAATAAATCCCTCCATGAAGACAGGCATGCCTCTGGTAGGTTTAACCACTCAAACACACAACCCTCCTGTTGTCTCAGCGAGGCACTGAAAAGCAAATAAAGTTGTGCATCATGGTGGAGAATCATCTCGGTTTTATTTTCCGTGAACGTACTCAAAGCAGATGAAAGGAGTGTGTGTGTGTGTGTGTGTCTGTGTGTGTGTGTGTGTGTGTGTGTTGAGTAGATTACATTTAAAAAAAAAAAAAAACCCCTTTTTTTTTTTTTTTTTTAAATCAGGTGTTTGAGTCTCTTCCTGGCTTTTTCTCCTTGGTGATAAATGTTGAGGTTTTTTGGGTTTTTTTTTTTTTTTCTGCGCGTTCCCATCCAAATTCACCCCACATTCACTGTAAGAATCAGTCCAGTAAAGAAATCAATATCCACTGCTGGAGGGGAGTATAATATTTGCAATGTGACCAACTGATAAAACCAGGTGTTGGCAGAGGACCGACAAGGTTGACTTCTAGTGGTTTGGATTTGGACTCCCCCTTTTTCCTCTCGTCTCCCTGCAGCCTTTAAACAAATGTAAATGAGTGACAGGGGTTTCTACCTCTGTGCTAATGAGGCCGAGCCTTTGAAGTTAGGCATTAACAACTGGAGTGAACAAAAGACAGTTACAGAATTTTAAAGAGATTTTGAAATATGAGGTGCAAAGCGGGTCGAACAGGAGGGCCAGCCGACGAAGACTTTGAACTCAGCAGGTTTTATCATTTTAAGCAGGGAGCTGGTGATGATGGTGGTGGTGGTGGTGGTGGTGGTGGTGAGGAGGAGGAGGATGAGAAGGAGTGTAGGATGGGGAACATTCAACCGGTGCTCGCCGTTGACTTCTTTCTTTCTCGCTCGTCTTTCTAGCAAAGCAGCGTTCACATGATTTCTGGGCCCACAAGGATTTAGATTTAGATCTGGAGCCTCACTGTACTCTTGAGTGTGTGTTGTGTTGTATGGTATTGTGTGTGTGTGTGTGTGTGTGTGTGTGAGAGAGAGTTACGGCTAATGTTTTGGTGAAATGTCCCTCTGGAAGAGGTCAGCCACGGTGGGAGCAGAGTGACTCCTGTTAGGTTTCTGCATGTAGATGGAGGCATGAAAACATGACATATTGGTGACCCCTCCCTCCCCTCCCCTCTCTCATAACACACACACACACACACACGCACACACACACACACGCAAACACAATTGATCCATCACACTGTCCACTGAGTGCCATGCGCATCATGGGTTGTAATGGTCAATCACAGCTTGGCAGATGGGATGTTTTCCATTCTTCCATGAACATGAAGAGATAACGCCCTCCACTCTACATTCCCAATAGCAACAAATAACACACACACATGCACACACACACACACACACACACTGAGGGTAGCCTGATGCTCCACTGGGAGCTGGTACTGACCTGTGGCTTCCTCTCTGTGCTGCTGCTCTGAGAGGAAATTGCTCATGGTGGGACGGAGCATGGAAATCACAAGTCAGACAATTAAAACAGCAGCAGATCTGTCTGGACTGGCTCCCTTTCATTTCTCACCTTGTATCTCTTTTTGGAAGAATATTATTTGTTATGCTATGTTTTATTTTAGTCTTTTCAAAGCCAAATCCTGCATACAATTATCCCACTACACCAGAAATAGTGAAAGACCTAATTGTGGATTTCTTTGAGTTTAACAGTCAGTTGTGGAAATTTTACAGTTTATTTTCTTATCATTTATACTTTTTAGGAAGCTTTTTATGATGAGAGCAGGATTTTTGTATTGCTAAAATTGTATATGTTTATATTTTTTATTAAATTACTGAGTACATTTGAGTTTAAAAAAAAGTAAATATTACAGTTCCATGAAGATAAATCTGATTATTGCAGGTTTTTCTTAGTATTATTTTGAAGCTTTGTGTGTGTGTGTGTGTGTGTGTGTGTGTGTGTGTGTATGTGTGTGTGTGTGTGTTTAAGATCCACATAAAATGGCCAAGATGTGAGATATAATTTCCCATGTTTCCCACAAGATATAATTCACGTTTAGGAATCCAAACAGGAAAGACAGCAGAGAGAGAAACTTAAACAAAAAAAAAAAAAAAGAACCCTGCATCAGCAGGTGTGTGAATATACATGTGCAGTATGTGTTTCTTTGTGCACAGATGCATGCTCCTGTGTGTGTTATTACACTTGTAGCCTCAGCTCATCATAAAACGACTCCATTTAAAGGTGATGAGGACAGGAGGGAAGGTAGGAACCATTAACAGGCAGAGTGGAGTGACGCCGTCTTTCATCCGAGGAAGGCTTAGATAGTCTTACAGGAGGAAGACGAGGAAGAAGGGCAGATAAGATACTCTCTGTTATTTTTGTGGAGCACGATGGTTAATTATAAGAAAGACAGTGTGTGTGTGTGTGTGTGTGTGTGTGTGTGTGTGTGTGTGTGTGTGTGCGTCTAGAGAGGTGGGGGTAAGGTTGCTTCCCGTTGGCTTCATTAGAGAGAGCCCTAATTATCTGTGGAGCTGATGGATTTGTGACAGGCCCTAACGATTAATGCTGACAAATTCAGTAAGGTGTCAAGTCCGCAGCTGCCTTGATGTAATCAAGTTGATATTATACAGTCCCCATAGCCCCTAGTGCAGCACCAACTCAATTTGCCTGTGCAGGTGACAAATGGACTTTGCTACCTGACTAATCACGTCAGGAGACAATGCCAGTTAATGACCTCGGTAAGGCCCCCCCCCTACCACCACCACCACCACCACTCTTATAACCTTGTAATAAAGCAAGCCGGACCAGCTACAGCACAACGCAACCTTTCCCTCTGTTCTCTTTTTATTTTCTATCATCCCCTTCCTTTGTTTTCTCTCAGTGCTTTAATTTTTGAGTCAAAGTAGCCGTACAAGTTTCCCCCTCATGTTTTCAGCTGGAATGTGAGGGTGGAGATTTTTTTTTTTTTTGAACTGTTGCGAGAGATTTATTTATTTTTATATTAATGACACGGCTCAGGCCCGCTCTAACCGCTTGATGTATCAGCACTCCAAAGTAATCCCAGGAACCATTTTTAAAACCTCGACGTTCTGTTGAAGTTTTTACACTTTTGCATGTGTTACGGCCCTGCTCCTAAATCACCGCCACATCATAACATGGTCTCCGTGCACTTTGGCTGAACGTCCTCCCAACTCAGTGCTGTGTTAGCCGCCTCGCTGAAGGCCTCCAGTTTATTCCGAGCAGGAGAATCACAGTGCCCAGGGATTAATGATTTTGCATGCCCGGGGTAGCTAAGATTACACAGCGACCTTTGTGCTCTTACTTGGCGATACTGTTATGTGATATTCTCCCCCCCGAAATAATCAGCATGTTGAGATTTATGTGCCCCCCTACTCCTCTGTCTGCATCAGCGTCCTGGCGAGCACAGTAGTGTACAACCTCTAGGTGTGTGTGTGTTTTTTTTTTGTTTTGTTTTGTTTTTTGTCCAGGTTTAATGTTGCTGGATTTGAATAACACCCTCCTTCCTGAGAATTAGAGCTAGTCTAGTTTTGATGAAAAGTTGATTTTCAGCAAAGGAACTAGTGTCTTTGGCCTGAAAGTTGGAGCGGATTATAACTTCCGATGGCTTAAAGGCTCCACAGCTCCTGAGAAATGAGAAGTTTATGTTAGAATTTGATGAAAAAAGTGTGTGTATGTGTCTGTTTGTGTGCACGTGTGTGTGTGTGCGTAAGAGAAAGAGGGGGAGAGACACAGAGGTGAAGAAAGAGCGCGTGTGTGTGTGTGTGTGTGTGTGTGTGTGTGCTTGTAGCTTAGCGCTGACCGGTGTTAGTTTTCCTGGAATGAATAACTTGAACGAGTGTACCGGTAACCACGCCATGTTAGTCATCCTCTTTAGCAGGGCCTGCCTTCAGATCCCCTCTCCGTCCCCCCACAGGAGACTGTCATATCTGTTCCCTATTCCCAATCAAAAAGCAGGGATATCAGACAGAGCA